GAACCCCGCCAGTACCGCGCCCCCACCTCCACCCCCCACCCACTTTGCGCCAGTACCACGCCCCCCCGCCCCCGTCCCGCCCCCTACCCCCGGCCGGGCAGGAGCACCACCCCTCCCGCCTGTCCCCTCAGGTCTTCCACAGCCGCCCACGGTAAAACACGAGCACCCTGTTGCGCTGCATCTGTCCTGCGGCTGCTACTCCACGCCTTCTCTAAGCAAAACGGTCGGCCTTACGTTTTAGGTTGAAAGTGGGCCACACAGCCAGAAACGGGACTGAAGCACTGATACCTGCCTCAACGTGGGTGAACCCCGGCAGCACGGTTCCTAGTGAAAGACGCCAGTCACTGAAGACCACGGGTCGTGTGACTCCATTTACATAAAACGTCCAGAATCCAGAGAGACAAGAAAGTAGGTTTGTGGTTTCCACGGGCTGCCGGGGAGGGGGAGTGGGGAGTGACTTCTAATGGGCTCTGAGTTCCTTTCAGAGGTGCTGAAAAGATTCTGGAAGGAGATAATGGTGATGGTTGCACAACTTCGTGAATAAACTAAAAACCACTGAAGTGTGCACTTCAAAATGGTGAATTTTATGGTATGTGAATTTTTACAAATTTCAAGTGGATTACAATTAGAATTTTAAGTGGTTACAATGAGACTTCTCAGTGAGTTATAATTACACTGAGGCCCTACCTGGCCTATGAGCCCCCAGCGTACTTATTCTGGAGCCAGATGACTTGGGACTCAGGTATCATTCTGACATCCACTTGCTGTGTGAGCCTGTGTGATTTCCTCAACCTCTCTGAGCCTCAGTTTTCTAGCCTGTGGAGCAGGAGTAATAATGCCTAGCTCACGTGGATTGTTGAGAGCATTGAACAAGCTAATGCAAGGAAATCCTGGTCCCTGACGCGGAGCTTCGAGAACAGCAGTGCCTCACCCTCAGCTGGCCCGCAGATCCTCTGAGCTCCAAGCAGAATGAAACCCTGGGCCTTGGCTAAAACAGCACCAAAATCAAGCCGGACCTGGGTCCTCATCTGTTCTGGAAATGACACTAAGTGGAAGTAGAGGCTGGGACGTCAGGCACACCCTGTGATGGGGCTTCAAAACTTGAAGACGAGGCTTGACTCCCAAGGCTCCCCTTATGACCAGCAATAAACTCCCTGCCACAGTCTCAAAGGGCCTGGTGTCACTGTCGGGCTTGACCCTCTCAACCACTACATAACTATCCCTACTCCTGGCATCAATCAAGGCTGAGGCGATGGGAGCTCAGAGAAATCAGAGGACGGGGCAGAGCTGTGATTTGCACCCAGGTCAGACCATCTCCACGGCTCTGACTTTTGCTTTCAAGGCAGCCGCCCTCTCTACGCACAGCCACTTTGCTCTGCGCTGTCCAGTCACAGCGAGGCTGGCCGTGGGCAGAGCTGCTGTGGAAGGGCCGTGCCACGAGGGGGCCCGGTGGCATCACTGCCCGGTCCACCAGCTCTGGCCACCAAGCATGGAGGCGGGGGCAGGGGACAGCGGTGTAACCCAAAGGGCAGCTGGAGGCCAGCGAGCCAGCAGCAAAGGGAGGGGCGAGGGGAACCAGCATTCAAGGCACGTGAGGGTCAGAGGTCAAACCACCAGATCAACAGCCCTAAGCAAGGCCGCTTACATCCTACCCATAGAGGTTCTAGTGTCTGGATTTAGCCAGAGAGGTGAGAAAAAGTGACAGCTACGATCCACTTGGCACTTCCACGTGCCTGAGACCGCGGTCAGCTTTTTTATATCCTCATGAATCTCACCCATGGCATGTCTCTATCATCCCCAGTTCACAGGTGGGAAAACTACAGCCCAGGAGTGCGAGGAACTGTTCAGGGACCCCCAGCGTTGGGGAGCCAAGGCCTGGACTCAGGGAGCTGGCTCCGGAGGGCCTCCCACTCGGCATCATGGTGCTGCTGCCTGACCCGGAGCAGCAGGTGGACCCACTGCCAGAGGTGGTGTCCGGCCAGTGTCAGACGCCTCCTCGATCTTTCTTGAAATGACAAGTGGTCGGAGTCACTGCAGGAAAGGACTTTACAGAAGGAAAAATCTGCTTGGCAACCACAAATCTGTAACTTGCTGATGTGATCGGAAGGTTTCCGAGAGCAGAGCAGCCGCCCAGCAGTCCGCGTATCCACTTTCATAAGGCATTCATCTCAGCCTCCAAGAAAATGGTTAAGTCAAAGATGTCGCTTGTCACACACCCTGCCCCTCCCCCACGGTCACGTGGCTGTGTCTCTGCTGTGAATCAAAGGCCAAGCTCCCCTTTCATCAGAGGCCTATAGATAATTGCCTTGCGATTTCCCTGCTGGGACTCAGAGGGCCACGGCCTAAAGGGTTAACATCTCATTTCCTCTCATCTTTCAAGCCTTAATCCCCATCCCGAGCTGGGTGCATTCCAAGCCCACCTGGAGCAGGTCACGACGGGCCCCAGCCCATGGCTGGCCCTTCATTTCCCCTGGCAGGAGACTAGAGGGGGCGCCCATTAATCACTCATTACGTACGGTCCTCACTGCCGGCACGCCCCGG